GTGTGTCCCTACTTGTTGTCTGTATGACCGGAGTAGATTATTGATTCTATCATTCTTATATCATACCATCTAACTTATTTAATTGCTAACTTCCAAGTTTCGAAACATAATCAGCACATCCCATGTCCTCATGTTTATTTTTGCTTTCACTGGAAGAAGACACATCGATTGACAGGTTTGCCGAGGGCTGTCATCAGCCGAGAGTATCTCGCAGCCTCAGTTGCAGAGAGGAATACGTCTTTTCATTCATTTTGAGAACATTCCGCACAGACTGGACTGATTTCCTGGGGTAGAAGTTACTAGCTCTGTCTTGGCCCAGAACAAGTTAGTCAAGTAGTAGACTGGTAAACTCCATATTGGGCTTTTAAGGATTCCTAATTAAAGTGGAATTGGAGTAGCATTAAAACGAAGGAACTCAGAGACAAACTTTGTCGGCTTAACAACCCAACGGATTCGATCATGGACAAATAATATAATTTACCAAATTTCATAATTCAAGCCATCAGGGTGGAATCAACAAAGATTCTGGTGCAGCTTTAACCAGTTGTAGTTCCTGAGAAATGTGGTCAGGTAAACTCTCAACGAAGTGGGACGCGCAATAGCTTTGACTCCGAATCCTCATCCAATATAGGGAGTGCGCGATGCCAGCTTCACCATCAACACCAGTGGGTCTCCGTCCGGCCCCAGCTACGCAGACGGAACTGCCGTATCACCAGTCGCCTGTCCATTTGGTTGTCGAACTCTGCTACCAATCATCTAACCAATACCGTCCAGGTATCCTTCTCATCTGATCGCTCTACACTGTCGAACACCGTCTTTGCTCAACCTCGCAGAAGCATTAACAGCACAACCGCCTTCGCCATCGAATCACTGACGCCTGCCAACTCAGCGACAGCCTCAAAGTCCCTCACGAAGCTCCGGATGTCTCATTCCTTGAAAGCATCCGACTATCAGATCTTCATTGTCTGGAGTCGGCGACACCAGTGGTAACGGTCGAAGACGAGGATTGAAGTTTATTGTTCAATTTCTTGCTTTTTTCTCACGCCCCCTATTTATCTCCATGACGCTCTATCATTTGCCTTCTCTGACATCAAACATATCTCCCTGCTATTTGACGTTTTTATGTCGATGAACATCTCTTTATATACTACTGATAAGCCTTGTCAGTAGCATATGCCACACTGGGATAGCCAGGTCTAGAATAAGTGACCTTGAGCAGTTGACCAATCTAGAAAATATTTCAGCCATCGCAATGAATTCACTTACATGTAGTCATTCAATACGGTGGGATATAGTAAAAGTGTTAGAAAGTAACATAGCAACGTGTCGACAGAAAGACAGAGAGAGACTAGTCACCGAATCCTTGTTTCCCGAATCAACCCTAAACACCACGTTCAATAGAAATGACACAGCGCCCACGCCGGATATGTGGGAATTTTCCAATATGAAGCGTTGAGTAACTTAAAAATTCCCATTGGGTCATACACAAAAAAGGCGTTCAGTGAAGAGTTACTCCTCTATTTTCGGCGATATCATTCTCATCACATTCATAAATAACAAATTGTCTTAGCAACAAAAGGAATATTTCCCAGGATGTGTCATTAGAATTGTAAATTTTAGATAACAAATTTCGTCAATTGGTTAGAAACTAAAATAAGATCAAATAAGCAAGTGGAGTGACGTATTCTAATTGACGGTGCTGAGTAGAGCTCAACCAAAATTAAAACTGAACAAAAGTCAAGCTGACAAAGGTGGTAATAAGGGGTATAAAAACAAGCATGAAAAAGACGAAACAAAAATCCCGTATTTGATGTTAAGATAGATCAGGTCCACTGTAGACATTTTAATGACTGAATTAACTTGTGAATCGCCATTGCTTCTGCGCTGTTTGAAGAAACTAGATTCATACTCTTTTAGCGAGATTCCCAAATATTATGTAGATAACTTTGAATTTTCTTTGTGTGTGGGTTAGCTTGGTGTCCAGATGTTCCAGGATAGAGCTGCGGCGGCGTGGGGGATCTTTCTTCTCCTTTATAAAACCATGACTGTGGGTAAGTGTTCAGTGATACTTCTAGATAGCAAACGCTGGGTAATGCTGACATACCTTGCTCCACAAGTCGAGCAGGTGAGCTAGTAGATGCACACTGATGAGGCGGCCAACAGCGTTAGCCTATCCTTCACATTCATGTGAACCATTGGTTTCGTAGAGAAATTTATTTGGAGTTCAGCAGCGAAGAAGGTTTTCTTCAGTGAGCGGGACAATGAGCAGTTTCTCAGTACTTATGCCGATGCATCTCCATTGAATTGTAGATCCAGGTAGTAATGTTTTTTGGTAGCAGAAAGTGTAGGTGGTTCTGGTGATTTAGGTTTCATAGATTTTGTGATGGAAAGTTCTTGGTAGGCATTTTCGAGGCGGATTCTCTTCAGAGTGTTTAGCTCCTCTTCCATAATATCAGGGCTGTAAATTCTGCGGATTCTGTGGCTTAGAGAACGCATCAGGTTTCGTTTTGTATATATGGGTACCCAGTTTTGAAAGTTGCTAAGTTATCTGCTCCATGTTGGCTTCTGTAGATGGATGTTATTAGTGTTCCATCTTGTTTACAAAATGTCCAGAAAAACATTGAGGTGAGTGTCGGTTGGAATGAAGGTGTATAAGGCAAGTTTCCAAATTGTTTGGATGCAATAGTACAACTGTGAACAATAAATTGTGATCGGACCGTCATCCAGTTATCAATACTGTATCACTGTATGTTATGTCAAACAAATTTATATAATGTGGAGCTATTTTCTTCAACTGGCTATACCAAAACCCCTCTTGTTTCGAAGTTCACTTTGATAAATTAATTTGTAATAAACATTTTTACTACTCATAAGTAGCGTAGTCTTCCACATGAAATATTACTACTGTCAGTTACAAGCATTAAACGATGATGATTTCTGCATCTTGATCACAGCTGACATTTTTCAGTCCGTTATTCAACCTTCACAGCATAAGTGAAGTGAGGGAAGTAACCTCTGTCAAATCTCTCCCGTTGATGATGATTGGTGCTTGTTCCTGTTAGTTAGGTATTTTCATCACCTCTGTTTTCTCTATTTTCACCTGAAGTCCTGTCTCTGATGTCTGTCTCTTCTATCAACTTGTTGGTTTTCTCCTGTGAGTCTTCGAGTTTGTGTGATACTAAACATAAGTCGTGGGTGGAATCCAGATCTTCTGGAGTCTTATTATCGTTGAGTGCAGCGTATTCCTCACTTCTCACTCGCTCACTCACTTACTCCCAACGTACAGTCTGAAGCAAAGTCCAGTCCACCACAATAAGAAATATCATCGGTGATAATAGGCAGCCTTGTCGTACTTCTGTATTCACTTCGAACTCCTCGCTGAGTTATTTGGTGTTTCGCAGCAGTTAAGTGGTGTGATGTCTTATACACTTCTCTGAACACATAAAATGTGTGCTAAATAAGGTATCGTAGAGTTTTTTCACTTGATCATCTGAGCATAAAGTCCTTTATAGTTGCTTCTAGTTCTGTCTGATGAGGTGGATGTAAGCAGAGAGTTGTGTATAGAGGGGATTCTCAGAGTCTGCCAATATAATATTCTCCAATTTCTTGCAGGAGTCCAAGTGTCTATCTGCAACAGTACAAACAAGTTCGTTTAGTGGTGTCTCCCTTGCCCTACTGACGGCTTTTAATGCCCTTCGCAGAGTAATAAAGAAAGTCTTTCATCAGAAGCCCAGGAAAGATGAATTTGTGGGGGAGCAGTAAAGAAGAATACGTAGAATACAGGAATTATCAAACTATAAAAGTACTAACTGTGTGATATCTGACTGTCTTAACTTCCTCCCATTGAAAGTTAAACAAAATATCTTTCCAGATTTGGGAAAACCCTCTGAGATCAGAAGAAATACACAATCCAAGTTATCTAACATTCGGCTTAGTTTCAACTTCAGTGACATTAATGTATAATAGTAGAACCATGTGAACGAACCAGTTCATGTAAGTCGTACTTGTGTCTGAAAGTGGAGTTCACAATCTAAAATGCAAAGGAATTTACCTTAAAGCCATTTGACAAGGAGCGCCGACTAATTTCTCATAAAAAGTGATTCGTTTTAAAAAATAACCGACATTGAAACAGTCAGATCATCGTATTAAAAATAAAAAAAAAGGGAATTTCCCACTGTACTACAGTGAATCGCGTCCTATCACGAAAGTTAGGATGAAATCACTTACTAGTCTAACACTGTGCTTGTTTCACAGCAAGCTTGTTTAACAAAAGACACCCAGGTACAGAGTCGATGGTAGATGTATTGTAATCAAGGAAGGCACACTGAACATATATAGCACCTCTGTCTAACCTAGAGACAATATTATGATGTGAGATAACAGTGTCATCTAAAAGGTACACCTATCATGTTGATAAGCGAATTGTTTAGGGTCATTAAAAGTTTTTGAAATTTAAAAGTAAAAGCAGTTTTTCCATTATTTTTAGAAAATCAAGATAACAGCAATAGATCTAAACTTGACACTTAATCCATTTAATGACTCCTGCACATGAACAGTTTTGATATCCTTCAATTAAGCAGGCCTAACATTAGTGGAAAATGATTCATTGAGAAAATATCCGTGAGAGACATGACATAAAATGTCTGCACATTTTCGAAAGATAATAGTTGGCAAACCATCTACACTTGGATCATATTCCAAGTAGAACATCGTACTTTAGCCGCATATCATCTACATTTCTCTCAGTTCTGTAAAATCGGCTTTGACTGGCTCCACAAATCTCCCTCACAAGCCTTTATTCCCTAACACCCAACTCATCAATTTCCAATTTGGTTCCATTCGAGGCTTTGGATGTTACATCACTTGAATGTCATAGTCTACAATATACTTCCAATACATCCTTTCATATTTTATTCTTGTCTATTGTTGGACAATAATTCTAGCAGGTTACAAGTGTTCAATTACATACAATATATACATCATTCTTTTCTGCTTTTCAGGGGTGAACTAAGATCATTCATTGGATCCATGCTTGTTGCCGCATTCTCCGGTGTCAGTGTCTCCTTTGCTATACTGAGTAAACGATTATCAGCTTTAATTGGGAATGCAATCTCGCTTTCACTGTTACCGCCAGCAGTCAACTGTGTTAGTCATCTGTTTTGTTAATCATTATTATGATTATTAATATCATTTTAGTTAGTAAAGAACAAATATTGGTGCAGAGTAACATGGATTCATTCTATGTTTCGTTGCTCTTCATCATCTGCAGACTACCTACACTTTTTAGTAAATAAAAGTCAGCGTAAAATTTAACATACTTTTGCAGTCGACAAGCATAGTAAAATAGTGGCATCGTTAGGTAAGACATCAGGACGACAACGTAGCGAAGTGCAAGCACATAGATGTGTATATATCTTGATGTAGAGAAGTTTCTAGAAAACTAAGTGACAAATTTGCTGTTAAGGTGGTAACAAAAATAAACCAGTAACAATAACACAGTTAGATAAGATGAGATCAAAATTTGGTGAGCAAGAGGTGAGATGAGAAAAGATCGATGATAGTGATGATGATGTGATATGGTGAGTAGAAGTCACAAGCTCAAGAATTATCTCAAACAGAAGGAGAACAAGGTGAGGGTGCCGAGAGCTGGAGTGGGTGCTGAAAAGACGAGTAACTGAAATCGGAAAACGAAGTGTCCACATGATAAATTAGACATCGAACTGATGCTGTTTAAGAACTCGTTGAAAGAAAAAGGTTACCAACAATACTTCATTAACAAGTATCGCAAGAATGAACGTAGGAAACCTGATGCGGCTACCATCAGCAAGAAGCCAGCTTTCATTAAAGTTGACTTCAACAGTGATCATACTATGAGATTCATAGACAAATACCCCTAATATATTATCTCTAACTGTGTATACAAATTCACATGTGTCTCCGAGATCAGTTCCGTTGGAAGAAAAGAAAGAAAGGCCTACGTCAGACTCTTCAGACATATACCTAGCTGCTTCCTGTTAAAGGAGCCAATCAGTTTACGTTCTTCAATTACCAAACATCTGACAGACACTGGACAACGAGAAGACAGACGCGCTAACATCATTCGAAATAATTAACAGACAAAATAGCTCAAGTCTTCTACCAGTTTGCTGAGGCTAACTCAATCAAACCTCTGAAACTTGACCTACTTGTATAGAGGGAGTCTGTAGTCGGACTCGAATTATCCTCGAGACTCCTCTCTTACTAACTGATGGTCCTCTAACTTCACTAACTGGCCGTTTCAATGGCTCCCTCTTGTTCTTTTTCTTTTTGACTTCTATAAGGGGTAATATTTCCTCATCTTGTGACTTTTACTCACCATATCACATCATCATCTTTTCATCTGACCTCTCGCACAACAAATTTTGATCTTCTCTTATCCAACTATGTTATTGTTACTGATTTATTTTTGTTACCACCTAAACAACAGGCTCGTCAATTAGTTCTCTAGAGAAATCTCTCTAACAAGATATATGTATACACATGTATATACTTACACAGCAGCTAACATGGTACTCTGAAGTTTCATCCCACCATGACACTCTTATAAAATGCTTGTTAATGCCAAAAGTATGTTAAATTTTACACTGACTTTTATTTATTAAAAAGTATAGGTAGTCTGTAGGTGATGAGGAGCAACGAAACATAGAATGAATCCATGTTATTCTGCACCAATATTTGTTCTTTCTCTGCTCAAATTTATCAAAGGGAATTCTTCTATAAAATTATTTTAATTATTATCTTCGGGATCACTATTCTTATCGTCAGTATTCCTGTGAGAACACTGACTGGAAATGAATGATCAGATTGGTTTTTGAGTTAGACTTGAAGTTGGACTGCTTAAATTTAAGTACGGAGCCAATCTAATCACACAGTCTGACTGTCAGTTATTTGTATGGCTGACGCCATTTTCAGGGGAGAAATGTCACATATCGAACAACGGAATTTTCCCTCCAAATGCTGTTTTAAGAAGGCGTTGATATCTGGGTTTTTTGACCTATGAAAATATTGAAATCCTTAAATAGGTGTTTTGGCGGTGAGGTTGTGGGGAGAATAAACCTGCCATTTATTTTCTACTTTATTCATCAGGAAATGTGACTTTATATTTCATAATAGAACACAGCATAGTATGGTAGTCAAATTTCTACCTCAGCTCCTTTAACTTTGAGAAAGGCAATCGACAATATTAACCGCGAAGTAATTTGGAAACTAATTCAACTATTGATATGTAGTCACATGATGTCTGCTTTGTTTTGACAGTTTTGATATATTTTGCTATATGTATATTGATAGTAATTCCATCATAACTCACAATATATTTTGTCCGTCCATTAACTAAATAAACAATGTATGACCTTTTGTCACATGATATTACAACCAATCAGAATCCAATGGTGGTAAGAAAAACTACTATCTGTCTTATTGGTTCATGTATATTAGTTTTTTTTCTATATGTTCTATTCTTCTATTGTACAGTTAATTCACACTTTTACACACTTTCATACCTTTGGTACCTTCCTACTCATACCCTTGTGTGACAGTTAATTTGCCCTTGTCGGAAAATACATGCATCTTCGCGAAAGTGGTGATTTTCTGATTTGCCTCTTCGCGTCAGGACAAATTAACTACTCAGCAATACCAGTCTGTACGTTATCGTCCGTTATATCTCATTAGCGCATACTCACACTCGGTCACACCATAATATTGGCAACGACACCATAACATACTGGCGACGGGAATGGGATTCGAACCCACGCAGGGAAGCCCCAATGGAGTGCAGTACTCCAAGCCTTTACCAACTTCACTAAATGGCTATATGATAATGCCATGTGTCAGGAGATCCATAAGGGTAAAATCACTGAAACCTTTGAAATGAGTACATGAGTAAGACAAGGCTGACTTCGATGCAGAACACTATGTGTGGGGAACGAAAAGAGAGGAACACGCTGGATCGATAAAAATACTCCAGTACTGTAGTAGGACCTTCATCACTCAGAAATCAGCGTGAAAATCTTCTTGACATACTATAAAGAACGAAATTCGGATTTTCAACACAAATATTAAGTCAGTCATTTCTTCTACATGCGTCATAACCTTAGTGCAACACTAAAAACATTTCGAATAGGCCACTGCAACCTTTCATCATTAGCTGACTTCGCTGAGCCCATACTGAAGATCAGATGGCCAGTGAAAAGAAATTAGCAACAAGAAACTTTGGGAACGAACCAATCAAGGACCTGTTGCGCAACAAGTATTCCGAAGAAAATGGACAGGACACTGATAGGTGAAATCGGGAGCCAGGCCATCGGTCAAGAGATCTCCGAGTGGTAGACGACCAGTTATGCGTCTGGCAAGTCTGTACTTGTTAATTCGTAAGACTCATTCCATCGATCAATATTTTTAGGTTCACTGACATATCTTAGTCAGAAACTTCGTACACTTATTCGCCTCTGTGAATCTGAATAAAAGCAAGAACAACAGTTTAGGTAGCATAACATGGCATCATAGCTGTTTATTTCGTTGACTGCTCATCAGCCGAGTAGAGAACAATTATAACATACTTTCAAATGTTACATAATGTCATTTATAGGCAGGAAACTCCAGCCTCAATAAAAACTGCTCAAAAATTACCTTTATAAAGTTTCTACACAGAAAGTTCAGGTTTCGACAAAATAAAGGTCTGGAGTCTCCTGTCAACTGGCATCACGCAACATTTGAAAGTATCCTGAAATTGTTCTGAACTTAAGCGTTATTCAATTCCTTAGGTTGTATGTAGCTGATAAGAAACTGATGATGGTACCATCTCCTTATTCTCCACAAACTGCTGATCTTGCTTTATTCAAGTACAATTAGTAGATAGGTATAATTTATAGTGTTTACCCTACAGTACTCAGTCAGTTTTACTAAACTGGAAGTAGATTGGAAGATTTCATCATGAGCTGACATAAGTTATAGAATCGCTGGAAAACCTGCAGGGTATAGTGGACAGTCGTTTCGTCCTAGTTTGGGAGTCTTCAGTAGTACGCACCCTCCGCTAGAGTTCGAACGCAGGACCTTCTGGTTACAAGACGAGCTAGCCCGTTGACCATTAAGCCACTGGGACCGGAAGATGAATCCCAACTTGTGACTCCCCGGTTTTCTCTGACTGATGTCAGCTCATGATGAAATCCTCCAATCCAATCAAGCAAATCCCCACAAAACCAATACTTGATAAACTAGAATTTACTTTCCAGGTGAATTTTACTCACCAAACCAAAAACCTTTTTGAGGAATCATTGAAAATCAGGGAGTACACTGGATAGCTGCTTCATTTTATTGTGGGGCCTAAAACTATGCGAGCGGCTGAATCCATGATCTTCGGATTAAATGAAGCGAGAGTCATTGATATAAGTATAAAACTTGGGCACTGTGGTAGAGTGTAACTCCATTATGGATAAGATTTTATTTTGATAAATCAAATAGTGTTACACAGTAATATTAACTGATGACGTTTCGAGCTCATAATCATATCAAGTTACTCACTCAACTTTTTCCTTGATTTATATATATATATATATATATATATATATATATATATGAAGCGAGAGTCCATTGACCATCAAATCCCCACCAATGAATTGTAACTTGGATCAGTCTGTCCTATTGCTGTTGTCAGCTAGCATCTGTCGTCAGATCCGATTTGGTGAACCCTACTTTTTACAGCCAACATCTCATAGGTACTACATGGAATTCATTCATTCCATACCTAATTATAAATAAACACTGGTCCAATGCCGAAGTGTCGGGTTGTGTACGTATTTGATTAGCCTCAAGATATTATTTTTTTACTGACTGACAGGTATAAAATGGACCCACGCAAAAACAACTTGGAGGATCTGGATAGGAGTTTCGCTGATGACATATGTCTGATTTCCCACAAACTGGAAGATATGCAAGTGATAAGCAATAAGTTGGCAGAAGGAACATGAAAGATGGGCATTCAGGTGAACATAGAGAAAACAGAGGTGATGAAGATTCCTGGCCACCAGCAACAGCAACGACAACAGACAACAATCAGCATAAATGGGAGAAATCTGAAAGAAGCAACCTCCTTTACCTAGAGGCAGACAGAACTGATGAGGACATCATCAAGGCGAGGATCGGGAAAGTAAGGCAAGCCTTTATTACTCTCAAGTATATATGGAGATCAACAGTGCTCAGCATGAAGAACAAGATGCCGATTTTCAACTCCAATTTGAAATCAGTGTTACTATACGGATCAAAGAATTGGCTCCACGCCGCGTCACGAAGGACACTTTGAACAAACTACACACCTTCATCGACAGTTATCTTCACTCAATACTGAAGATCAGATGGCCGGCCAGAAAACATCATCAACAGGAAGGGATCTCTGACAATGAGCGAACCAACTCAGCAGGAACTGATTGTACAACAAATACGCAGGAAGAATTGGAGGTGGATTGTCCATACTTTGAGAAAACCATCAAGTGAGTGACTCTGTCTTGAGTAGAACCCAAATGAGAAGCAGAAAGTTGGTCATCAGTGCAAAAGTGACTTGAAGTAATTCATGCAAAAAAGAGATGAAAGTATGTGGGCAGACGTGGAGCCAGATGAAAACGTTGGCGGAGGACCGAACGCAATGGAGACGTATGGCTGAAGCCCCATATTCCTCTAGGAACTAAAGGAAAGAAGAATAATAACTAACATCATTCGGTGGGAGGGAAGCGAATTTGCTTTGAACGCTTCTCATATTAATGGATCAATAAACTGCTAACTCAAGCAATGATAAGTTTTATTTGCGAAATCTTTCCCCCCTCATAGTTATAATAGTTATTAAAAGCTTTAGGGGAGAGGAAAAAAATCATTGAAGGGATTTATCTGTATCAAATCATCAATCAGTTTCAAGCTTATCGATCAGGACCTGATAATGAAGGAATATGAGGGAATAGATAGCACAGAACAATACTCATTATTCCACTAGAAAAGAGCACATTAACAGTTAGAATTAAAATCGATTAATGACAATAATTGGACCACGTGTTTTCGAATACTAGTAGAATTTATTTTAATTACTGTGTGACTCAGTGAGGAGAATAAAATTTAAGGAATTGTGACACGTACGTGAATGACTGATTCAGACTTTCACTAACTATTGTGAATAACCCTCGAAATTGGAAGAAAAATATGAAAAGAATTCCGTTCTTTTATTTCTCCTCGCAATGTACAATTTTCTTTTGTCATTGTGACAAAGTCGGTCAACTTGACAGAACAACATTCAAAACAGCAAACAGAGAGTATAAAATTGTCCTGGTGTGTAAATTCTTCCCACTAGGAAACCTTCTGTGAAGGTGACTGGGTTATTTCAATAAATTAAGACCAACAGTTTGTGCAGAATAAGGAGGTGGTACCATCATTTATTTCGTCGGTTTCTCATCAGCCACGTACAACCCAAAGAATTAAATTCACGTTTATGTACAGAACAAATTTTAACATACTGTTGAGTGTTACACAATGTCAGTTAATGACAGGAGGCTCCAGACTTAATAAACAGTGCTCAAAAATTAAATTTATATACCCTGAGAGACCAAGTTTAACCAAAACAATAAATATTTGGATACACTGGCAGAGGAGTTCCGTAATAAAGAAAATAGGTGGATAAGACGATGAGTTACGAATAAATGGACTGACAATACGCTGAATTCAACTTAAATCATAGGACCGTGTATTTATCAATCCAACTGTTTATACAAATTTAAATGAAGAAGGGCATACTTCCGACTTTCTGAACATGCACCAAAACGCCTACGTCTCAATGAGACAAACACTTACAAATAGTGCCATTACCAGGCATCTCCTTGGCACGGGTCATCAGGTGAACGTCGCAAGATCCTTCCAAATTATCAGTAGGCAAAAAACTTCATTTCTCCTCAAGTTTCCCGAAGCCTGTAACCCAATTTATGTGTTCAGAAAGAAGCAATTAACAGTCTTTCCTTGCCCTGCTGGCTGGTAACTGGATGTTTTCACTATCTCTCTCTCTCATTTGATTGCGTAGTCTTTGACTTTAACATCAACCCCACTTTGATCCAGTGTAATTCTGCTTGTCTCTTGTTTCTGTGATTTGAGTTGAACTCAGTACATTGTTACCCAATTTATTAGTTACTCATCATACTACGCACCTGTCGTCTTTATTACGTAACTCCTTTACCGTTCGTTATATGCATACACTGATTTTGTTTAAAACTGCACTTTCTGTGTAAAAGCCATATAAGTGTAATTTTCTGAGCACTGTTCACTAAGTCCAGAACCTCCGATCAACTAACATCATGTACAGTTTGCAAGTGTATTGAAACTTTTCTGTCCACGAACTTAATAATGTTTTCTTCAGGCTGTAAGAAGCTGAGCTGGTGGGAAGCCAACGAAATAAACAATGATGGTGGTGCCATCTTCTTATTCTGCACAAACCTTCACTTTTGTTCTTGCCTTATTCAAATTAATAAAGAGGAATAAATGTATGAAGAAGAGACAATCAAAGTTATAATATAGCGAAGGGGAGAGATAGTAAAGCCAGAGAATACTTAGTCAAATGAAAGAGGGAGGGAGAGAGTAGAGACATCCAGTCGCTAGAGTAGCAAGCAAAGATTGGTGATGACTGCTTCTCGCTAAACACATAAATCCGGTTTTGGACATCTGACAGCAATCGCTTCAACAAACTTGAGGAGGAGAATCTAACTATTTTGTCTACTGTGACAGTTTGAAGGATTTCATAAATGTCCACAGCATGACCTGTGTTGATAAGATTTCTGGACACTATAGACTTTTGATGTAACAACTTATATCAATCCCAGTTTATATCTTCACCATAGTTTGGTTTATTTATTTCGGACACTTTTAAAGGCTATCCCATGTAGGAAGATGACATAATGCACCTAACTATCAATAAAGAAAGAAAGTCTAGATTTGCGGTATAAAGTGATATAATGATTCTACTTCACAGGTTCTCATCAACTGCAAGCTACTACCTGAAGTTGCAATGGTTACATATAATGACAATAACATCATACTTCAATGTTTGAATGGTAGTAAAGAAAGCATTATAAAGTCAATGCATTCGAAATATAAGCGGCATTACAGCTTTTAGTTTAAGTTACCATCTATGTATATGCCCTAAAAATAGAAAGGGAGAGGGGAGGAGAAGACAGGAAACAGAAAAATTCAAGAAAAAACAGTGTTTTCCCTTGTAAGTACACATAGCAACTCAAGAAGGTCATAGTCTAAAAAATTGAAAAATTACTGAGTGTACTGAAATCACTAATATAGATGACTAATCATTGTAATTAAATTTTAGCTTCCAAGGGAGTGAGTGAGAGATTGATTACACTATCTTTCTGTATTCAGAAGTCATGTTTGAAACACCCGATTGCCATTGCTTCAGCAAATCGTAGTACATCTGTTGTCTTTTGTATGCTTAGTATTTTGAAATCTCTGTAAAATGACCGGTATCTACAAAGTGTTGGGTAGATGTACTTTGTGACTATCTGCTTCCTTTTAGACATATGTTTCTTAGGATATGCTCTGAAAGCAGTGGATAGAAGCGCTTCTTTCTATCCTTCAAATGTACTTGCTGCTGCAAATGCACGTGGTTGAAGATGACATCAGGAGACTACTTATCCAGTTTGGATTGGCTTGTAGAACATGTGGTACTGTATAGGGTTATGGGCTTAGCTTCAGGAAGGCATCATTTTGCATCCCCTTTCATTTTCTTATCTATCTTTCGTGATACAGCTTCTCCTTTGAATAGAAGACAAATGAACACTTTCTTCGCTTCAACAGTTGGATTTTTCGTTTTCTCGTCTTTTTTTTGATGCACTTTAGGATAAATCCCTTTGGATACCAATCTTCTCTTCGGCATTTCTCAACAGGGCGTAATTATTCTTCCTTCCTTCATGACACAACATTCTGTCGCACATTGTCCTTACTAATCCGCGTTTATAGAATATAGGACAGAAGCTGTGTTGTAGTGAAGATATTGTTCGGTTTACGTATCTTTTCTATAGACTGACTTTTGGTTCCTACTATCGTTTCTTCTTCTTACATCAAGACCTGGGAAATTGAACTCATCGTTGTTTTATTATTCCATGTTGAAATCATCTAACTATTTGTGTGATTTTTATTGTCATTGTAATCATTTTTTTCATCACTGATGAAGTAATAATTGCCGTGTCTTATTTTTCACTTCTTTTCCAGGGTCATTTACTGCTGCTTTCTCTTTTGGCAATTTCTTCCGTGGAAAAAGTTCAGGTATGACATTCAATTCCTAATTTATACAGCTGAGTTCAGTATGTGTCCACAACAGAATCTGTCGATGGCTATGTCAGAAAAAAATTAATCATAGCCGGAAATTATCGACACAAAATGGACTAATATCCTCTTAGGTTCCGTGTAGAACACAGCGCCTCAATAGCACATCTACATTTCATCCCGTTCTCTGAAGCCGCCCTTAGCTGGCTTCGTGATCGCCCATAAACTCTCATCTCTCCCTCACACAACCTCCCTCCTTCATGTCACCCTCAGATCTACATCCAACTCGTCGTTTCCCAGTCAGCTTTCACTCGACAGTGAGGCAAACAGTGTCATTCAACAGTCTCTTCAGGTTGTGTTGAGTTTATTTCTATTTGTTGGGTAATAGTTCCTTGTTTGTTAAATTGTTTCTTTCTCTCCTTCTAAGAGTTCTTTGTTTGCTGATCGTTTCTAGGCTGCCTGATCTCCAGTATTGACCGAGAAGTCTCCGATACGCCTTGTCTCTGACCCATATAGAAAAAACCACTTGACATTATTGTGTTGAAAATTCGACTCTTGTTCCTCATTCTGATTTTAGTTAGACTTCCGCACTGATTTCAGTCAGATTAATGAAAATCTACGTCACCATTTCAAATCCTTGTATGTACCACTTCCACGTAGTTGAAAGGATATTGCTCAAGTGACATCACATCCGTCTTCTCTCTCTGTGTTTACTTGAAGTCCTATCTTCACTGCCTATCTCTTCTGTTGACTTGTTAGTTTTCTCAGTGTCTGTTGATCTTCGAGTTTGCATGACGTTAGAACATAAATCGTCGCAGAATTCCAAAACATTGCGCTCTTCATAGTCTGTCGAATGATCCACTTCACCGTAATCACGAATATCATTGTTGGTGATGAAGGTCAACCTTTCAGAAGGTTCGCTGAATTGTCCGTTATGGGTCACTTGATGTATGGGTTTTTCAGTTAGCTAGTGAATGAGGCTGATAATGACTTGAGGTGCTGAACGAGATCAAAACAAACTGATGAAGCAATAATAACTTTTTTCGTCCGTTTACTTCGTGAGTGGAATATAAGGTGGCTTTAAGCTTCAGATTCATAGTGCTAGTAGCTGTGATAGTAGCATTGCCAATCACGCTTGACTTTTCTGTTTACGGGAGTTACAGCTGGCTTAGCAAGGACTGAGAGTGTGTAAGCCGTGTATCGAGCCTGGGACCACATGCGCAGTTGGCAGTTATTCTCCTAGTGAATCGCCAATGCATTCAAGAAATAATCAGTGAATAATCATCTCAGTTGTAGTCGTTTTGAGAGTGAGTGGGCAAACATATCCCACGTCCACTGAAGCGTCAAAATGTACTCCATATTATTGAGAAAGAATTTTTAATAACTTGTGAATGCAAGTATACAGTTGTCTTGTTTTAAGTACTGTGGAATTCCACCACAAATTAAGAAGTCACTCAGAGAATCTTTGAGGACCAAAAGGGCAGCTCACACCTCCGGTTGATTTAAGCGAATTTTACTAACCTTTTCTGTCTGCAGTGTTCACTATATAGGGGTCCTTGATAATTTATACAAAACCCTATAGATGATAGTTAAACAGCTGATGGTTTAGACGACAGCTTTATTTAGGCTCACTGGTGGGTGTTCCCAAGCATGAAAAAAATAAAGTTTTTAGAGCAACAGTCAAACTACCTGTCTCCACAGGAACAGTTGAACTGGTCAATATAATAAGACATGGCTAGAATAGTTGCTTCGTCTTTCAGGTTTGGGATCAAAACTGGTTGTCTGGAGAATATCATCTCCAGTTTACAGGAATTAAACCTTCTTTCAATTGATTTTCTCAGCTTATTTGCTATTGATACTTCACCTGGATGTATTTTTTTTCCTTCATGTTCCTCAGTGGAACATAGGGCTTCAAGCTTGTGCTTTGAAGTTTCTTTAGCAGCGTTTAGTTTTACATGATGGGGTTGCTAGCCTCATGCCCAACCTTTCCTCTTCACCAGCATTATTTCTGGCTTAGCGAGGTAAAGGAGTGCGTCGGTGGCCGGGAATCGAACCCCGCACCATGTGCATGGTCGGCGAGCGTCGTAACCGCTATACCACCGACGCACTACCTGGATGTATAATACCTTTGAATTTCAGTTGTACACAGAGAGGCTTCTTGTTAACAACGATGTTGTCACTAACATTACTTCTTTAATTATTACGATCATATAAAACTGCAGAATCTTACGAGAGGAATTTCTGGCAAAGAATATTCTTTGTTGTTTGTGCATTTATGTTTATGCTGAAGATACAAAATAAAAAGATTTTTCATTTTCAAAAGACTGATTGCTGAACAAAGAATATTCACATTACAGGGTTTCATCATGAGCTGACATTAGTTAGAGAACCATTGGAAAACCTGCGGGGAGTACTGGACAGCTGTTTCGTCCTAGTTTGGGACTCTTTATCAGTACGCACCCACCGGGATTCGAACCCAGGACCTTCTGGTTACAAGGCGAGCTCGTATACTATTGAGCCACTAGGACCCGATCCAATGGCCCATGAATTCTAACTTCTGCCAATTCACTACATAGCGCGAACCCTAGCCAATGTCTTCAGCGAGTATTTGTCCTCACACCCGACCTGCTGCACCCTACTGATAACGACTTCTCACTAGAACCCCAGATAACTATCTACCTGAATGGAGCAAGTCGCTAGTGAGCACATTTTTGATGACTTCATCATCAGGTTCTACAGTTATGTATACATCCATCGATAATAGTGAATGAATTAGGCTTATTAACAATATTAATGCTGTTTAAATAACATCGAATCAATAATCTTAATAATAACACCAGTGGATTACAGTTCGACAGCACCAACATAACAATAAACTAAATGTCAGGAAAATTAGGAGAAATAACAATGATACAAATTCATAAATTTATAGTCTCCACTGAAGGCCAGCCAGGGTAGCAGTAGTGGCTAGTTGAAATTGTTTCTTCTGCAAACAAAGAACCGGTTGTTTCACACGAATCGCGATAGCCTCTGCTGTTTGGAGTGTGCGGTACCTGGATCCTTTCGGCACTTTATTTGGTATCCGATAGATGATGATGGAGAAGGATTCTTCAGTGCTGGCTTTATGGTCGGTTTGAACCAGGTGGTCTAATATTGAACTGTTGATGGGTTTTACTAAACCTCTACTCAGCCACACGAAAAATCAAGTTCCTAGAGCAACGGCCAATATAACTCGCTCCACAGGCGCAGTCGGATTGGGAGATACAATTAGAAGTGGCTAGTCTGGGTACTTCATCTTCCGATTGAGGAATCACCACCAGTCGGTTGCGTAGAAAATAAGACTTGTAGTTTACCAGCATTAAAAGCTTTTTGAATACATCTCGAATTATCAGCAGTTATTTCACTGAATATATCGCCCTTGAATCGCAGTCGTGTGTGTAAAGTCGTTTTGTTTACAGATAGAGAATAGTCCTTTCCAACTTTCTTAGTCATATGCTTCTTGATGAATTTGTCTAGATAGCTATTTTTAATCAAGGTATCATATAGAATTCTTATTTCATCTTCAGTTACCCTTTCTGAGTATATAGCTCTAAAACATATGGTTGAGTGACGGTCCTTATTACAATCTCCTTTGTACTAGAGAGGAACGAAGCTATAGAAATGTGTATATTATCTTATCCATGTGCTTTTCCAATATGTAAATTTCTCTTGATACTAACGTCTGGTTTTCTTGTACGAAGGACATCATGGAAGGCAATTAATTCTTACTTTGGGATTCCTCTTCGTACAAGAAACTGATAGGGTAGTGTACTTCATTAAATTGAGTAATTATTGTGTTCCTGTCCAAATCATTATCACAAAGAATAAAGGTGTCATCCACATACTGACAATAAGTCGAGAATTTTGTGATAATGTGGTTGAAAGGACTATTTTCTAGTTTACTCATAAAGAGATCTGCCAAAATGGGAGCCAAAGGTTGGCCTATCGCCACCCCGTCCATTTGTCTGTAAAATGTCCCATGAAATTTCAAATTTACATTCATGGTGTACACCTTATTAACAATTCTTTTATTGATTTCCATTGAGATACCGATATTTATCGACTTGTTGTACACTTGTTCACATATATAGTTAACCGTTTCCATTTCTGTTGTGTTTTTTGTACTACGAGCCAATAACCATTGGAGAATGGAATCAAACAACAAATTTACATCAATGTAAATATTCATGGATTCGACAATATGAATTCATTTATATGCAAAATTCGTGTAATGCTCCACTGGAATTTCTATATGTTGGTTTATCAAGTTTCTGTCTTGTTACAATGAATATTCTGCTCATCCTGATAACTGGATATACAGTGAATAAGGTAAAAAAACAACTGAGATATATATATTCAACACACTTTTTATTCATTATAATAAAGGTTTTTGTATTTCCCAATGAATGAAAAACAAAACGATATTGTTTCTACTGACGTTTCGCTATTTAATGCTAATAGCTTTATCAAAGTATTATTAAACCGGAATTTACAAAATCTCAGCATATAAATAACAAACAGTTAGGGGGTGAGAAAATAGACTAGGTCAAGTTAAAGGGACATATTGAAAGTAAAAATAGCAATGAAGATAACTAAACCAAATAACAAAGGTAATAGTATGTCTGTTATGATATCAAAATAAAGTTTACTAACTTGATCATCGTTCGTCTCTCTGGGGGAATTTTTAGTTGTCAAGTTGGTCATTTGGTAAAGATAACAAAATCAAGTGTGGATTGTTGGATTTGATCGGTGTGTAAAATTATAAAAGTAGTGTGTGTTTACATAGTGAACTTGCATATCACATTCGTGTTGGTTTTGTCACTTCATGGGGGAGGGAGGTGTTGTAACCAGGTCAGATTCTGTTTTAGTCCATCATTCCTATTCAGGCAATTTTGATTCCACTTGATATGAAGTGCTTCTGATATTAGACGTTCTTTGTGATTTCTGAAGTTTTTCTGGATTATTTCAATATTGTCAAAATCAATTTTGTGGCCTGATTCTATAGCATGTAGACCTATGGCTGATGATTTTTCAAGTTTTTGTAGTCCAACAGGATTTCTCGGTGGTCGAAGAGATGCTCTACGGTGTTCATTTCTTCTGATTTTGATTTCTCGATGTATATCGCATCACATTCCAAGCATTTTATTTTATAGACACAATTAGATAGAGAATCTTTGGGGATTTGGTCTTTTATATGGAAAAGGTTGCTTTGAAGTGTGTCTGATGTCTTGAAGAAAACTCTAATGTCGAGCTGATTGAGTACTCTTCTGATATCGTCTGACGTCTCTGCTCTATATGGAATGACGACTGTTGATGTCCATGTTTTCGGAATGCGTTTTCGGCCATACTTAATATCTGTGTTGTTTTTGTTGATGAAGTTCCATGGGTTCATATACCCAATGCCCAAATTTTTTCAAACCGTTAAAGGTGAACTTGGTTTGGACATATATAACACTTTTTATTATTGATGAATACTCCTCGACCACGCGTGCCACTAAAAATGAAATGAAAATAAAAGTAGTTCAACAATGAGGCATTTATATACACTAAAGAGAGCAGCTACACAAAAAGTGATGAGTTTTCATAATCATACTTGTTAGTTAATATCAGTCAATGCATAAGAGAGGTAGAATGATTCCATTGTGGAGAACAAATTTATTTTGATAAAGTCTCATTGTGTTTGATATATATACAGTAATATTTACTGATGATGATGACCACAGGCTTCGACCACAATTCATTATTATTACTGCCCATCGTCATCATATCAGCGCACTAAGCACACAAATTACCATATTCGTTCATATTCTTCCACTATTTGTCATCTCTTGGTTTCGTTGACAGTAATAATTTCCACATTTCTGTTATTAGTGACGGTGAATCATTCCTATTGTATGTGTTAGGTGTGTAGACTCGATGAACCAGGATTCAGTAATGAATCTTCCTCTATCTCCATCTATCTATTTTTCTCACCCTATTGTGTTGTTGTGTGGTTATGCATACAGTGCTACTGCTGAGTTTTTTCTAAATAACTCATCTTCGTGGGACCAGTCATTCTAACCTTAGCTAAATTCTCATGTTCTGACAGCCAATCTGACCACTCCCAATGTACTAGTTTGACCTACGTAGTCGGCCTTACTCACAGTCATTGCAAGGTATTTTGTAAATTATACTGTCCAACAAGGTCAACCTGCAGGGTGCTTCAACCTACCTGCAGAGCTTGTCCTATCTGAGTGAGTTCGTAGGTTTAAATGCTACCATCCTATTTCCTGCTTTATTGAGAATCCTACGTAGGGATGGTCTCAGATGTCCCCCCTCCTTTTATGCTGAAACTACTGTAAATGGCTTATATTCTCTGTTCTTTATGTTATCATTATTAGTTTCATCATTATTTTTATTTTGCTTTTGACGTTTTCTCATTTTCCTAATGAATTTTATAGGATGGTTAGTTATTTAACGCCAACCAGCCATTCTTCTACCTGTTTCATTTCATCGTTCAGGGTTTTTGTTTTACTGCTTAGTAATGTTGTTGCTCGGTTTGTCAGACACTTAACTAAGCCTGCCTTCACAGGCAGAAAACGGACGGATGAGATGACCATATCTTTGTTCATCGAGTCTACACACCCAACACATACAACAGGAATGATTCACCATCACTTATAACAGAAATATGGAAATTACTACTGTCAATGAAATCAAGAGATGACAAACAGTGGAAGAATATAAACGAAGTTGGAAATTTGTGTGCTTAGTGCCCTGATATGATGACGATGGGCAGTAATAATAATGAATTGTGGTCGAAGCCTGTGGTCATCATCATCAGTAAATATTACTGTATATATATCAAACACAATGAGACTTTATCAAAATAAATTTTATCCACAATGGAATTATAATCTTTCACAGTGCACAAGTTCTCTTCTTATATTAAGAAGTTGAATAATACTATCCTGCATGGCTGTGGAAGGGTATTGGTGGCTCTATAAGGAGTACGATAACTGAACACCTTATCAACACCCTGGTGACTTCATTTCAGCAAAAGTCTCCTTCATTGTATTCAACAAAGTTAGTAATAACCTGCCAAAGGCAATACGCTTCGTATACTTAGTCTTTTTGAAGCCTGAACCATTAAGATGGAGAAACGTGAGCTAGCCATACAAAAGAAAATTATTCAACAACTTCTACTGTCATGGTAACAACCTTGTTCGTTTCTGCTGACTTCATTTTTGTTTGTGTTTTCAGCTCCTTACAACTCGAGTATTCCTCTAGAACTTTTAAGTAACTCCGCATTCCCCTTCGTTTCTATATGCATCCTGATTACAGCTTATTCATCCATTAAATTATGCATCTCATTAAGTAACTTGCATACACATATTCAATTCCTTTAATGTATTGGCAAATACTAATGGATATTAATGTGACAGACAACTCATCACATTTGTTAAAACACTCCTTCATGGGAAAAACTGTATATAAATGCGATTATATAGCTGAAGAGGGAAGTAAATTCTCCGAAGACAGCCTTCACGCTGAACTGCTTGTTTTGTTTGCATATTACAATACTATTATTACTCCCTTGGGTTCCAAGTGGAACATGTACAACTTCAACAACACATCACCACTTTCTTCTATTTTCTTCTGCCCTATTCAGCTGGTTCACCTCACAATTGCTCATAATCTATCATTTCCTACTCCCTCCAACTCACACCATCTCCTCCATGTCACCCTCACACCAACGATCCACTCGTCGCTTCCCATTCACCTTCTACTCGAGCGATGGCTTGCATTGAGCACGATGTCATTTGACGACCTCCTTAACGTATGCCCAATCAGCCCATCTCCATTTTCTTCCACAAATTTCTTGAGCAAAAGGTTCTTGATTGATTTCTTCTTACAGTTCCTTTTCGCGAGTTCTCTCCACCAGACATTTGATCCTCAGTATAGAACTAACAAGGAGAAGTGCAGCTGCTAACAAACCAGTAGCCTGTTCGAATTGATTTCTCTAGCGCATACCTCAAGTTTCTGACCCATACAGAGGTACTAAGCGACCTAAGACAGGTGTTGAAAATCCGAATTTTGTTCTTTATGCTAAGTGCTGAAGATATCTCAAGTGGTTTCAGAGTGATGAAGCTCTGTCTAGTCTTTCCAATCCTCCCTGATCTCGACATCCACACCCATGGTACGTGGTTGTAGCTGAAACGATGCTGTTTAGATACATGAAGGAAGTAACGTTCTTCAAATCTATTCCATTAATAGTGACTGATGCTTGTTGTTAGTTGGTCATCTTTATAACCTCCATCTCCTCTATATTCACTTGAATTCCCATCATCGCCGCTGCTTCTGTCCACTTGTTGGTTTCCGCCTGTAAATCTTCTAATTTGTGTGACACTATAGGCAGACATCATCCACAAAGTTCTAACCCTCTGATGTCTTCTTATCGACCCAACATACTGATATCTCCTCAATCCCCACAGTCTTCCACAGAAATCAGTTCACAAAATTTAGGAATATCATTGTTGTTGATAGTAGGCAGCCTTGTCTGCCTCTCGTTTTCACCTGAAATGCTTCTCTGAGTTTTCCATTTTGGATCGCTTGATATATGGCACAATCATCATCTAGATGTTGAATAGGCTTCATAAAGACTCCTATTGAATAGTAATCCTTAGAGTTGACAGTCATTTCCATACTTCCAGCTTAAAAATATGATTATGATGTCGATAGTTTGCAGTAGACATCTCAGACATATAGAAAACCTTCCACATGCTAATTTGTCTGTAATGATCAACTACTTCATTTGATTTAGTCTGTTCTGACTCCATTCTAAAGTAACTTGTTAACTGGGTAGGGATATTGTAATGTATTCTATCTCCTCTTGCCTATAACAACATTTTCCCTCATTGATTCGTTGAATGTTTGTGTGCAAGGCTATTATGTGTGAGTGCGGTAGTTGATTTAGAAAACCAGTGAAGCCTCAACCTCTTAATAGTAGGATGAACCATAGTAAACACTGACAATACATAGAAGTTAGTAAAAGTGTGGTGAGAGCTGTCTACTAGACAAATTGGTAGACAGTAATTTACGTCAATGTTTACGTTCTCAAGATTTGTTGTGAGAAAATATGAACAAAGACTAATTCAAAACCGACCACAGCAGACTTTGCGTAGGCGGATACAGTTAACATATAGATGATCTGACATTCAAGAAACAGTCACGAAGAGATGAAAGATTAACTTTAAGTGAGAAACAATCAATCAGAAGACTGTGTTTGTTTGCTTAACTATTCTATAGTAATGTACATGAGAATATATAAATATGCTTTGATTTCCCTAATAAACGATCTGTTGCCTGGCCCTTGTCTTCTGTTGTTACAAAGGAATGTTATTTATTAACAAATCTAGTTATACTTTGCTGTTTATTTACTGATGCAAAAGTAGGTTTATAAGTTCCTTACTCATATTTGTCTCTTTCTTCACATAAAACTCATACTAAATATGGTGGCATGATAGAATTTTTATATTTAGTAGCTGTACTAGCATAAATTCTTATGACATGTCTTCTGGTTCTATCCGAAGATATGCAAAACGAAAGTTGAGAATAAGTAAAGGTGGGTGCGTACTGATGAAGAGTCCCAAACTAGGACGAAACAGCTGCCCAGTACTCCCAGGTTTTCCAATGGTTCCCTAACTAATGTCAGCTCATGATGAAAATCCTGTAAGTAAAGAGAATGTTCGGCATCAGACAAGATGACTTTAGTTAACTGCTCGCAAGAATTAAATTGCCTATTGACAATAATGTCAGTTAGTAATTGAATCAAAGGTACACACACAAATAACCATGTCTACTTACAGCCTTCAGTGTTCTACATAATATAACACAGTCCTTTTTTAGAAGTCCAGGGAAGAATAAGTACGAAGAACAATAAAGTAGAATGAACAGAATTCGTGAATTAATAAACTGTAAGAGAAAAAGGTGAGTAATGCCAGCAGAAAGTCTCAACTTATTTATATAATAATAAGGGATGGCGTGATGGATCAATAAAACCATCTATTTATAGAAAACCTGCTTGGATAGGACAATATCTTAATTATTACAGTTTCTGCTCTGTTCGGTATAAAAGAGCCTTAGTGAGTGAGGTGCCTCTCCAATAGAATCCAAGCAATATTCACTGAAGACACGCTTGATGAGAAAGAAAGAAAGAAAGTTGACACCAACTCTGGTTGATAATAATTATCCAGACAAGTTCATCAGGAGATATAAATTAGTCAGAACATCAAGACCCACTCTGCAACTCGCTGCTAAGAAAGACGTGTACATCAAGCTATCCTATATGGGTGATCATAACAGCTTGACAACTAGACAAAGATTGAACACTGTGGTTGAAAAAACTTCTTATACAGCTAAGATCATAATAATTGAGGATGTGAAGGTAATATATCCACCTAAGCCTTTAGAACATGAGAAAAATGATGTCACACTCCACAGTATTTACCAGTTTGAATGTAAGTGTGACCACACACATGCACTCACAAATATATGGATGACTCATCGACTTCTGCAAGTAAGGGCTGGTTTCAGAGCATATTCCTAAATGGCTACAGAAGTAAATAGAATCCCCAGAACCTATTAATTAATGGTGAGTACAGATGACGACCTAGCTGTTCTATTGTGAAACATATTACAGAGGAGACAGGACATAAAATTGATGTTTACATGTCTTTTAAACCTATCCGTAGAACGTGTTTGTGGGAGGGCGTGTCCTACAGTTTGTGGAATTCCTAGCTGTCAGTTAGGAAGTTTAAACCACCTTTATGCGGTCAAAGCAACCATTCGTCATCATACTAAACCTACCTTCCTTGTTAAACTTTGTTTTGATACCAGCCAGGGTAGATGTACTGTTACCTCACTTCTTTGGTTTAGAGATGTTCATTGTTATTTTGACCAATATATCCTTTCAGCTTGACCTATTTCTCACCTCTTAACTCTTAATTAATTCCATATTTATTCTTATGATAAGTGTGTGTGTGTGATCAGACTGTTTGAAACGTGTTGCGCAATTACATTACACGATTCAGACAAATTACGTCTTCTTATTGCTTTGTCTAAATAAGGGAAACAAAAAGATATGAGATAACAAACTGAGATTTGAAGAGGAATTATCGCCGAGATAGATGTTCAATTTTCCTACCTATCACAGTGCCGTCGATATTACATAAATTACGGGACTGAATCGGTATTCACGTAGGTCTTGTTCACATCTGAAACTAAAACCAATTGTATGACGTGTAGGTAGGTCTCGTTTAAGAATATTTCACTGGGACAAATTGTTAACCTCAGATAAGAAACTATGCATTGCATTATATCAGAACAATAGAACACAATAATAATGATATGCTTTATTTCAAAATAGTACGTTTGATACTGTGTGGAATTCTCAGCGTTTGGCACAACATTCCATCTAATTTGCTCGACAACGACGAAACAAAATGATGCATATGACAGGGTATAGGCAACCAAAATTGATAACAGCAGCTGTCTGGAATTAGCAGCGGCAAAAAGTGAGGAGTTAAAAATGTTAATGGCTAAAATGATAAGATAGATGAAATAATGTCAGCATAGATTACAAACAGGAGAGGAAAAATACGAGAATTATTTTCCCCTTGAACACTTCCCCTATCATACAGAAGGCGGACAGGCCAGATAGGGTGTCGCTGAGTTGTTTTACTTCGTTGTGCGAGTGAAAAAACGATCTTTTATAATGACTTCTCGTTCAACCTGATGAGATGTAAGATGTGGGGTGTGTGGAGAGTCGTGAATAAAGAGGGTGCTGAGAGGCAGACAAATGGATTTAGACCATTTCTCACATGAATTGGTCAAATGTCCGTCAACTACAATAGTGACGAGCTGACTTAGTGATCACACACTACTTCCCCTACTAACAACTAATAATGCCCTTTGAAAAATAAGGGAGACGAAAACTTTCCTTAGAAATCAACAAGATATTAGATGTAATGATGGACTCAACCCTAACTGACCTCAATGACTCAAGGACTGACTTGTTACCACAAGGGAATAATCTCGTTGTCTTAGCACATGCAGATGATATAGTCCTCCCTCCTGGGTGAAGAAGCTTACAAAATATAACAGAGTCTTCCGAACACCTTGATCCTGATTTGCAATCTTCGAATGATTGGCATGCGATTCAGTTCTGCTGTCAAATTTAAGGATATGGATGTTACTTGACTGAACTGGACTGAACCACATCGATTACTCCTAGCTTAACGATAGGCAGGCAGGAGTGAAACGGTGACTGACTAGTTAGTTGAGCGCACTGAACACTTCACTTATGTGGGAATTCGCATCAGCCAACGCTAGCTCGTTGATCTCATGACAGACTGAATCTCACCACGGATGTAGAAGAGTCGTTGGGCATTTTTCAGCCAAATTACATCATCTCTGGCTTAGTAGACGTGATGTCTGGCCGGCTGGCTGTCGACAAAAGGGCGTGTATACTAATCAGCAGCAGTTCATTTCATCCTCCTTTAAGGCTGTCTGGCTGACTGTGAGACATAACGGTTAAAAGCGGAAGACATGAAAAGCCTTGCTAACTAGCTGTCTTTGATCATAAGTGTCTGCGTTCTATCTCGCATGTTAGGTTTTATAATATGGTGAGCAATACTGAGGGGAGGCGTCAGTAGGTTGAGTGGTGGGTAAGGAAGGAGGAGTGTAAATCAAACGACAGTGAGGTTGTGAATCAGTTACATCGATTGAGAGAGATGGTTAGGACATGTGTTACACATACATCCCTTGCCATCACCTTCCTCAGCCGACAGGTGATGTTAGCTGACTGACATAGGATGGATGAGGTTGGAAAAGAGTCAGCTAGTGGTCGTGGTGGTCGAACCAAAACATGGCTTCATCACTCAATGAAATCCACGACAGTTAACTGAAACCAACCAGCCATCCACTTAAGGAGGTGTAGACTAGCTGACTGTCTGGTTGGGGTTCTCTGGGTGGTGGTGAGAACCAATGAAGGTTGGAGACAGCAGGTGATATGGCTCAAAATCGTTCTCCGTGGTGGCTGGCGCAGATGCATTCACTTTTCGTCACTCATCATATCTAATAAAACTCTGCTGCTCTTCCATATTACTATTCTCTTTCCCTCACTCACACTTCTGTTCATTATCTCTCTCTCATTTGAATCTCTCTTTACTCTCTTCTCTTGCTTTGTGTGCTACATGAAGGGAGGGTGGCAACTGGAACTGCTGCACATCTATGCAAAGATCTAAGTTGAACCAGTCAGCTAGTTAGTAAGTCTACGCAAGTTTTACTTACGTCTGAAACTAAAATCAACAGTAAGACCTTAAGGAGGATTTAATTTAATACTATTTGTTAACTTCAGAAAAGAAACTCTTTATTATATCAGGACAATCTAATACAGAAACAACTAGGACAGAGTATGACCAGATCTTCAGGAAATTCAATGAAATTGGCTTAAGAAGAATACGGTAAGTCAAGCAAAAAGAAAGAAAGAAAGTAGAGCCAGCCTCCATCAGGCACACCAGTTATTCAGAGGTAGATAAAAAATATAACCAATATATTAGTCATTATTGAATCTCAGAAAACGCAACTACCGGTCATCACTTAACTATCCTACCTAATATTTTTACTTTTTGCAGAGATATTATCACCAATTCTTTTGTTCATATGTTTGTTAGTTTGTGTTTTTCTCATCTGTCTTACTGAAAGGTATTCATAATTGGTTTGTTTGTTTATTTTGCCTTATTTTTCTTTCAGATAAAAAATTTAGTGCCTCTTTCATTTACAAATGAAATCACCAGAAGATTTTACCAAAAGGATTTACGAGCAAGTAAAATTGTGTTGTGTTCAATCATGCAAATATCCTTTAGTCTGTTTGTTTGCTTGGTTCTTTGTTTGCATAACTTTTGGTGATTGTCAAGTGTGTATGTGTACACACACCTTGAAGTTGCCGCTTTCAACCAAAATCAGCTCATCATGAAATCCTGATACCAATCAAATCCCTTAAAACCAACACTTGAATATCAATCAACTGCCCACTAGCGACTGTTCCCCTATTCAGGTAGGTAGTTACCTGGGGTTCTAGTGAGAATTCGTCATCGGTGGGGTGCAGCAAATTGGGTATGAGGATAAATACTCTCCAGTGATGACATTGGCTGGTACCAGTCGCCCTATATCCTGGGTGAGTTGGCAGAAGTTGGAATTCATGGGCTGGCCATTGGGTTGGCGGCTCCCAGTGGCTGAGTGGTCTACGAACTCTCTCGCCTTGAAACCGTAAGGTCCTGAATTCTATCCCCATTGGGATGGGTGCGTGCTGTTGAAGAGCCCCAAACCAGGGGAACAGAGGCAGCTGTTCAGTACTCTCAGTTGGTTTTCCAATGGTTCTCTAACCAATGTCAGCTCATGATAAAATCCTGAAATTTTTGATTCTTTCTATGCTTTTTTAACAATAGATGACTCATTTGATAAATAACTATGTTTGTTAACCCATAACTAACTAAACTTATTGATTATTCCTATAATGGGATTTTATATACTTCCATTGTTTTTACCAAATAATCAATCGTAGTTGATAAGATTTTCATTTTGTGGTATACGTAAGAACGATAGGACAAATAGTAACCCATTGTTTCTGATTTTCAAGTGTTGGTTTGCAGGGATTTGATTGGCTACAGGATTTCATCAAGAACTGGCATCGGTTAGAGATACGCTGGAAATCCTGAGAGTACTGACTAGTTGTTTCATCAGCTTAGTTTGGAACTGGCTCATCAACAGCACGCACCCACCTCCAGGATTCGAAGCCAGGACCTTCTGATTACAAGGCGTGCTTGTAGACCCCTAAGCCACTGAAACCCGGTCTACTGACCAGTGAATTTCAACTCCTACCAACTTCGTGATGTATATTTAGCATAACCTTCAGCCAATGTCATGGGCAAGTAACTGTCATCTTGCCTGACTTGATGGACAGCACTGGTTACGAATCTTCGCTAGAACTCTAGGTAACTTCATGTTGTATAGAGCCAGTTGCCAGTGTGTATCAGAACAATTATCAAGTGTTGTCTGTGCAAGGCCCCAGTAGCTGAACAGTAGACGAATGTATCTTGTAACCGGAAGGTCGTGGGTCCGAACCCCGGTAGGTACATAAAGCTAAAGATTGTCAAACTAGAACAACCGTAGCAGCCATCCAACACTCCTTGGTTTTCCAATGTTTCTCGAAATGATGCCGACGCGTGATCAAACGTGAAACAAATCACAGTATAAAAGTTTTAGGAAACGCGAAAAATAATCAAATAGTGTTGTGGCATGTGCTACTAATAAGATGTATCAGTAGTATGTAATGAGAAGTTCATCAGGATGAAAACATCCAATAGCCGGGAGGAGATAGGTCTGATGTCAGAGAGAGCAAATGATTCAACGTTACGAAGAAACATGGGAGACGTGAAGGGAACACAAAGAAACACAATACAAAGAGGGACAGATGTAACGCTACACGGAGGATCTGTGCGAATGGTGATTTGAAGATAAGGTGTGCATAATTTCTCTTTATACAAGTACCAAGACTTTACAAAATGCAGAGATGAAAAACGAACTAAACTGACACCTGAAGTGTGAATCTTAATGAAGATAACATTTAATACGCTTCAGCAGAAAAAAAACTAACATCAAATATAAAGTACTTGGTGATGGTGCTGAAACAATCCTGTCAGTCAAGTCTGACGGTGATCGTGAGCTCTGAATTGTTGTAATTGGATGGTCTCAGGCAATCGGTGGCAAGCATTGCCTAGACCATAGTTTCGGGATTGTTAGCATTCACCCCAATGTCCTGAAGGAACAATGCATGTTCCTTATGAGATTCAAGCCCCCAAATCACCTAATGATGCAATCAGAGGCGTCACCACTTAGCCATTAGAGCTTATGATTGGCCTCCTTTAAGGATGTTTTAGATACTATGATCGGTTACTAGGACTAGACACATCACATTAGTTACTTCTTAGTGGCGACATCTCCGATTGCAATACTGGATGACATGGGTACAAATCTCAGAATGGATATGAGTTGTTTCTTGAAGATCGTAGATACGCCCTGGTGAGTGTCAACACACACAAACCTAGGTCCAAGACTTTTTGCTGACTTTCTCCAACCAGAGAGTGTTTTTGAATAGTTTTTCCTTGCTAATTTATAACCCCTCGGAAGTACACAACAACAACTCCACCGTGGAATCGGACCCTGCACCTTCAAGTTACTAGGTGAGCCATTCAGCGCCTGGGATGCAGTGGTCCAATGACTCTGCAAATTCATTAATGATCTCCATTGGTGTGTATTTATCCTTACACCCAGTGTGATATCATAGGTGGGTTCTCTTGAAGAGTCCCAAACTAGGACGAAATAACTGTTCAAAAAAGTTCAGTTTCCTTTATTCCACTGATATTCGCATACGCTTGATGACACTGATAAATCCCCCTCAGTCGTTTTGACTAATATATACACTTACATTATATTATATGACAATGCCACATGTCACTTGATCCACAAAGGAAAACTCAGAGCAACTTGCCTTTGAAGTGAACAAAGGAGTCAGACAAAGCCACCTATATTCACCAACGATGATATTCTTAATTATGGTGTACTGAATTATGCGTCATACTGTGCCTTGAGAGTGACTCAGAAGACAGGAATACGCAGCACTGACTAATCATAAGACTCTAGAAGATCTAGATATCGCGTGTGTCATCCAATGTCACACAAACTCGAAGACCTAGAGGCAGGCAAAAGCAGACAAACTGGCTGAAAAGGATGGCTGGCAGATAAGACCAGTGGACTCCAGGTAGACATAGATAAGATAGAGATGGAGGTGATGAAGATAACCAGCTGACCACCACCACCAACAATAACCAGCAGTAATCACCATCAACAAGATAAAGAGATTTGACAGAGGTTACTTCCTGCCTTCATTTATCTACACTGCAGCATCGTTCCAACCACAGGCAGTCGGGATGGATGAAAATGTCAAAGCCAACCAGCCAGAATCTTTAAGGCGAGATACGCCTTCATCAACCTGAAATCAGTTTGGAAGCCTTCTGCACTCCACCTCAGCATAAACAGTGACATTCGGATTTTCAACACAAACGTCAGTGAAGTCAGTCAGTTAGCGCTTCTATATGGGTCAGAAATTTGTGATGCGTATCATGAGAAGTACTCCGAACAGTTCATCTCAGACTTTTATCAACAGCTACCCCTTTCGCTGGCTGACTCCATATTGAGGGTCAAATGACTAGCTAGTCAGCCTGCCGGCGGCCAGAAGGAATAAGCATCAAGAAACTCTGGCAATGAACGAACCAACCAAGAGCCGATTGTTCAACAAATATGTAGGAGAAAATGGAGATAGATCAGGCATAGGCTGAGGAGGAAGGCAGTTGAACAAAATTGCGCACAATTCAATCCATCACTCGAGTGGAAGGTGAATGGGAAGCGACAAGTGGGTGGTCGGTACGAGGGTGATATGGAGGAGATGGTGTAAGGTGGAGGGAAGAGGAGATGAGAGATTATGGGCAGTCGTGGGGTCAGTCTGCTGAAGAGGACTGAAGGAAGTGGAGATGCGTTGTTAAAGGTGTATATGTACCACTCGAAGCCCAAGGGAATAATGATTATAATAATAATAATAATACCCAATACTTAGATTTGATTAGTCTATGGAAAACATTTATACAGCCAAGTGACAGTTAAAATCGTTAATTTTTTAGTCTGCTGCCCGATTTTTATAAGCTCAGATCATATTCCTCTGGGTAAAAAAGGATTGAAATATTTTATCAGAATAAAATTTAAACATTTTCGATAAAAAAAGTAACTGAAGGGTGAACTTCTTAGGCGTGAGTGAGAGACAGAGACGGAGAGAGAGAGAGACAGAAAGAAAGTAAATCGATAAGATTTTTCACTTGACAGACAAATCAACTTGTAAAACCAGCTGGATATATGTATGATTTTCAGGTCATCCTTAAGTCTTGTTTGTAGGTATTTAGTATAACAGAAAAGTATGCTATGAATAAGAGGAAGAAAGAAAGAAAGATGGAAGGAGGGGATGAGACAGCATCATAATACACGACGCACAGATGAATTTATGAAAAAATAAAATCAGTCGCTATGCCTACATTACATACATATATACAGCCAGGATGAACCAAATGAAGACTATAAAAGACAATGTTTATAGTGAAGAAAGTGCTTCTTTGTCGACGAAATCATCTTCACAGGCTGGCTCTACAGTCGTATTTATATTTGCCGAAAATGTGTAGTAGTCCATTATTGGGTAGTGGGGTGCGGCGGTATAGGAATGGTCAATAGACGAATTTTCATAGCTGGGTCCCTGTGAGAAGAAAGAGAAATCCGATACAATCCTTATCCTCAAGAATAAGAAGGATATGTTCCTGCCAGTGACACAGTCAATGATGAACTGGAGAGACTCAGACAAATCCTCATGGAAAATGGATATCCTTAAAGATTTGTCGAGACAAACATGAAAGTAAAGCAAAAACCCGAAGAAACTGATATTCATGAATGTTGAATATTGAGGTGATATCGAGGCTGAGATTCTAAAGAACCGCTGCTTATCCAGATCACTGAGAAAAGTCTTCTTTTCGGCTGAACTACGGATCGCTTTTTACAGCCAACCAATGATCAATGGATGTGTGAAGTATAAACTACCGCTTTAGACGGCCCACTTCAATGTGCGTTTATAAATCCACCTGCTCCTGTGGACCTAGTTATACTAGCCGTACAACTTAGTGCACGCTTCCCAAACGCATCTCTGAACATTAATCTGGCATGGTTAGCAAAAGGACAATGCAAGACAATGACTAACTCATTTCTCGAGCACTTGGTGAACTAAAGCAGCGTAGCTCCACCTCAGTAGTCTTTCAAGATTATCAACAAGATGATGCAAAGTGGTTCAAATGGCGTTAGGTTTCGACTTTTATGTATGGCGGAGGCGTTTGCAATTCGTCAGTTCAACCCCGAACTCTATATACAGAAAACGTTTGTCCAGTCTATTATTCTACCATCATCTTAACTTCTTCATTAGTCATTCCCTATAAAGTTTTTATATTTATTTTCAATGATTAGTTTACTTTTACTTTTATTAATAATTAATTCACTATTATCACTCTCACATTTTCTCACTCTCTTCACACTTGTTAAGTGGACACTCAACTACCACCTTTATTCTCAATCATTATCAATTTTAAGCTTATCAAATTGCTAACGCTTTCTTCCTTTGTGCCATTGTTGAGTACCACGTAATTTGGAACTTTTATTTTTACTTCTAAAACTACTTCTGAGTAATTGCATCACTTATGTCACCTCGCACTTCAACTATTACTCAATAATAGACTACTATACATTTTTGGCAAATATAAATACGACCGTAGAGCCAGCCTGTGAAGATGATTTCGTCGACAAAGAAGCATTTTCTTCTCTGACTTGTCTTTCACTTTTTCTTCATGATTCAATGGGTATTTTTGGTGATTTGAAAAATGAAAACTATTCATCAAAAGTGTTTTTGCTTCAAGTGGACAAATTATGCTGTTATTATCGATTTTCCTCCAAACTTCAGTTGTAAGTTAGACTTTCGTCAAGAGAAATCATTGCAAAACCAGTAGACAACTGCTTCTATCGTCCGATTTCGGGACTCGTCAGTAGTGTTCACCCATGAATCCGGCTGGAGGGAGAAAATTCAGGATCTTCAGGTTGCTACACCAGCCGAATTGGGTTGGAGTTTAGTTACCACTGAACTCTAACTTTTCCACCTCATTGTATAACGCTACCTTCGTAAATGTCTTTGTTAAGCATTCACTTCACCTTGACATTGGTAGAGCCCAGGGGTCACGACTCCTCACTGCAGACAAAGATTCAGAACATTCATTCAATAGCCATCAATGAATTGGAGATTGACGTTTAGATTGCAGGATTTGTTTGCTTTATGGATTAATTTCAGTTGTTAGAATTTTCCTCATGAACCAATTGTGTATAGACGTGTGAAAACACTACGAGTGTAGCACATTATGTCATGGTTGTTGCTATGATTTCTGATCCAAGATTTCGAGCCAATTCACCAGCTGTCTGTCTGAAGCCATTGGTGATTTTTAGAATTCCAAGGACTCCAACCAGACGGGAAATGTAGACCTCCCTACTTGGCTGGCTGGATCAAACTAACTGCTAAAGTTTTCGTCGACTGATTCCATGTACTGATTAAACTACTACTAGTTCATTTTCCAACCTGATCGATGCTATACCAGGCAGCTAACAGCGCCCGTGGAGGAAGGAGATGGTCAGTTATGTGTATCACATGTCTTAACAATTTTAATCGATTCACCTTCCCTCCTTACATAATATTCGACGCCTAATCTTAATATTGATCACTTTATTACACCACCTAAAACAGGAAACAGCACGCAGACACCTGTAATCAAAGACCGCTAGTCAGTCTTTTCATATCTTCCACTTTTAGTGGCCATGTCTCACAGTCAGCCAGACAGCCATAAAGGAGGACGGAGCGAACTACTACTGAGTGGTACACACGCCTTTTGGTCAACGGCCAGCCAGCTATCACATTTACTAAGCCAGAGACGTTGTAAGTTGGCTGTAAAATGCCAAAACGGTCTTCTGTATCCGTGTTGAGATTTCGTCGGCGATCAATCCGCTGGCGTTGGCTGGGCTGATACAACTTCCCAAATAAGTGAAGTAGTGGTTAACACGCTCAGCCAGCCTCCACTTAGCTCCTGCCTATCTTTAAGCTACAAGTAGTCGATGTAGTCCAGTCAGTCCTGTAGTGATCACCTTACAAACGACAGGTGGAAATCGCATCCCTGGTTGGTAGTCAAGTGAATAAGCCATTGATTGACAAATACGTATTACATTCGACCAAATTTACCAACTAATAAAAAGTAAATCACATGACAAGAAAGTTCGAATTCTGCGCCAATAAAAATGATTAATAAAGATATAAATTAACAGCCAATAATGACAAAGGTTGTCTGTCAAGAGACATACAAGCACATCATCATTCATGGAGGGAAAATTCAAATAAGTTCATTTTATACTAAAACCTGCTTTGAAGGGAGATGTTGTCTAGCAGGGGAATGACGAAAGCTTGACAATCAAATCATCAACCAGCTGAGAGAACACACTGAATTCAAAGTCATCCACCTGAGGTACAAATATTCGCCGTCAGTGTCAGTTCTGTTAGTACATCTGTGATGAAATTAAACGTGTTTGGAAGCAGTGGACCCACCCGAATGACGCCACTTAGCATTATTTAAAAAAAGTAAAATCAATTTAGGTGCTAAATATAGGTCTTCATATTAGCAAGGAAATAAGGCCACATAACAACAACAATTATGGAGGTAGTGAAGAAGTGGGTATCTATATACATAGCGAAATTATGTACACCTTATCTGCAACACACCATTTGCACAGATCTTCCGTGTTGTGCCTGCTACTTCTGCCCTTCCTTCATATTGTGTTTCTTTATGTTCCTTTCACGTCTCCCATGTTTCTCCGTAACGCCGAATCATTTGCTTTCTTTGACGCCAAATCTATTTCTCTGTTATTTGATGCTTTTAATGTCAATGAACGTCTCTTTATATACTACTGATGAATCTCATCAGTAGCACACGCCCTTAAAATGACATTAAGCACTTGATTTCCAGCCTATGGATCCTGCATTCGAGTCTCTCTCCACAGACTTCAACAACTTGATTTAAATATCTAGTAATACCACCGAGGAGGATATATTTTCAAACGCTGCCAGTGATAAACAAATCTGTCTTGAGTCAACTGGACAACTGTTGTCCGGTAATATTTAATCTCTCTTTCAGACTCCCTATTTTTTTATTTCTGATTGGATAACAGTGACTTTAGATTGTAGTAGTAGTAATAATAATAATAAATAACCTTGAAAGTCAAAAAAATACGAAAAGAAATACACCAGTTCATATTTCACCATATACGATGATATCCACATGTTGGAAATGTAAATATCTGGGTCAAATAATATAATAGCTTGTACACACTCTCATACACACATACACACAAACATAGAGACACGCTTGACCATCAACTAGGTCAAAGTTATTTTTAATTGAATCGATACAAAGCAACGGTAACACATCAAAAACATAAAAAACTTATTCTTGTACTTCTTCTTCAAATATTTTTTTTTCCTAACAAAAACAGGAAGTTCGCGAGAATTATAAATGTTTACACAAATTTGATGCATCTGATTTAGCCACTTATGCATACAATGAATACCTTCGTTTGAATAAAATAAACTCACAAGACGGTGAATTAACTAATTTGGATAGTGAGAATGCAGAACAGATTGTTAATGAATTTCATACAATTATGAAGGTAAGTCACGTGAATTGTATATTTATTGATTCTGTTGGAGGAAGCTGGCCACTGGAAACTTTGACTGGACCTCCTAGGTTTTGTACTTGTTGGCATTCACCAGTGAGCAGGACATATCTCCATTGCCTTGAAAGAATAGCCCATGCGCCTTTTGAGATTGAAACCCCCAGGTTAATGAATGCTGCATCAAGACACTTCACCAGTGAGCTATTTGTGCTCGTGATTAACCTCCTGTAAGACTGTATTGGATATTTTTGATTGGACACTAGTTAGACAATTTGTTGTAACGGTAGGGGAATTAATCGAGGACGTTGTCGCCTTGTTCTGTCTGCGCCTGACTAATATGCCTATCTGCTTCTGGTACCTTCCGATTCAGCGAACCACGCAAATATCAAAAGACAAAGTCTGGTCTGTGACTGTGTATTGTAGTACAACAACTACGACGACGACGACGACGACAAAGAAACTTATTTAGGAAACGGTATTTATACATTTTTACAACCAATACAGACAGCTAACAGTATTTGAAATAATTGGTCGTAATAGTCAATAACAAAATGCGTGGGAATGATGATATACCACTTATGCGAGATTAACAGTCATTAAGATAATTGAACAATAACAAAGTGCCTGGGAAATGATAATATAACACATATGCGAGATTAACAGTCATTAAGATGATTGAACAATAACAAAGTGTGTGGGATCCTATCACAAATGACACTAGTTGCTAACTAGTGTCCAATCAAAGCATCCGAAACAGTCAGTCCTAAAGGAGGTCGATCACGAGATCTCTGACTCATTGCAGCACCGCGTGACGTGGGTTCGAACCTGAGAAGGGAAATGAGTTCCTTCAATGTGGTTGCAGATATACGTTGCCGACTGGTGAGTGCCAACTAGCACGAAATCTAGGTACAAGCAAGAGTTCTAGTGTCCGATTGACTCCAACTACTTAATATCAACAAACCGTAGTCTATTGTTTGTCTGTCTATATATCAGATGGTTGAAGGACATTGGCATAAAGCTGTGCCTAGACCTTGGTACCGTGATTGTTGTTAGTGACTAGTTTAATAAAAGAAAAGACGTTCGGAGAAGAGTTACTCCTCTTTTCTGCGATATCATTCTCAAGCTGTACAAGCGCGTATATATATATATATATATATATATATATATATATGGTAATCTATTTGACGGGTTTGAGTGGAACTCAATTAAAATTAAAACTGAAAAGACGTCAAGTCAACAACAGTGTTAATAAGGAGTACAGATTGATTAGGAGGTGGGGGAAGAAAATACTACACAATAAAGAAACAGAAACAAAACGTAAATTGCGTATTTGGTGTAAAGATAGATCATATCCATTGTAGACTTTCTAATGACTGAACAAACTTCGTTTGTATGTAGTGTTCAGGTTTCGACATGTGAATTACCATCGCTTCTGAGGTTTGAAGAAGTTTGATTCGTGCTTTTTTGGCGAGATTTCCACGAATTCCCACGAACTTTCCCAGACTTAGTATGCAAAGGCAAATACATATAATTATGTATACATTCGCAAACATCTGACCTTATTCTAAAATCGGATGATAAACTCACTAGGTTCAAAACTAAGTTAGTTGACAGCTGCCAACAGTACAAAAATAATAGACATCCAGTAAATATTCTGTTACCTAAGCAACACAGAGAAAATCTAAGAGAACTCAGAAGTAAATCAAGCCTAATTTAATTATTAGCAAGCCGGATAAAGGTGACGGTTTAATTTTACTGGATAAAAGTGACTATGTTGAGAAAATGGAAGGTATTTTGAATGATCAGACTAAATTGAAATCTCTTGGTAGTTCCAACGAGCTCATTGTAAAAGTGGAGAAACTAATGACCGGTTCTCTCAAAAAACTTAACCATAAACGAGTATTATCATCAGTCACGTATGAGTCTTTGAAACCAACGGGTACCAATACTCTACGTCTTTATGGTCTATCCAAAGTTCACAAACCGGGTCTTCCTCTTCGCCCTGTTTTAGATATGTTTAACTCTCCATTTCACGGAACAGTAAAGTGGTTAGTGAAGATTCTGGGACGTTTCCACAAAGAAATTGTGCGACATAGAATCAGTGATGTCTTCGACTTAACTCCTACAATATCTGAGACTAATGTTGAGGATAAACGTTTGTTATATTTGGATTTATCATCACTATTCATGAATGTACCATTTACCGAAAAGGTAGATTATATTTGCCAAGAAATCATCGAAAGGCAAATTGACTTAGGAATTCCCTTGTATAACCTCGAAGAATTAATCCTTAAATGCACAGTGAATGTACATTTTGTCTGCAATAATTCATACTACCGACAAGTAGACAGAATAGCTATAGATTCACCATTAGGCCAAATATTAGCTGACTTCTTCCTCACTAAACTTGAAAACAGCAGAATGAAAGACATCATCAAGGAGTTTGATATGTATTACTGTTATGTCGGTGACAAATTTATCTTACTTGATGGGAAGGCAAACATAGACGAATTGCCAGTGAAATTGAACAACATCCACCTTTCACCTACTTTCACTTGTGAAGAGGAGCTGGATAATAAACTGCATTTTCTGGATGTCTTGATAAGTAGGCGAGAAGATGAGTCAGTCGGGAGAAGCGTTTACAGAAAGAGCACATTCACAGGGCAACACACAGAATTCCTTAGTTACGTGCCCATTAAATATAAAAGAAATGCTTTTAAGTGTCTTACGAGCAGAGCAAAAAAGATATGTACGGATGACCACATACAAAATGAATTTGAATATATTCAGGATTCTTCGACGGAGATGGGCTATCCAAGTAGTTTCATAAGGAAACATATGAAAACATTGCAGAGAAAACCTGAGACGATGAGTTCACGTAATAAACCTCCATTTATTAAGTTACAATTTAATGGTGACTTGTCAAGTGAGATTTTATTCCAGAGACTTTCTAAGGGTATACGAAGAACGTTTAACGCAGCATACCTATGTTTGTTATTCTCTAGTCGACGAGTGACTGGGATTCAAACGAAGGATAAGCTAGGTAGTTTTGCTACATTTATGTGCATTTATCAATTCAGCTGCACCTGTGCTCACAGTTATGTTGGGCACACCACTACTAGACAGCTTAGCCAACGTGTCACTACTGAGCATCTCCCATTGTGGGTG